AGAATAAATATTTTGAAACTACATAAATAAAATAATATGTTAATTTGTTACTCCTTTCATTAAAAAATATAAGATATTTTTGATCGAATTTTACCTCCAATAAAATAGTTACTTTTCTTCAAACTAATTCTATCTTTTTATATTCACCTTTATTTAATAGAATGTTTCACCTTAAAATAAATATACATGATTTATTGAATAGGGACACTTTTTTAAAAAATAATGATTACACATTAAAAAATTAAAAATATCTCATATTTTTTAACATCTAACCTCCAAAAAATATTTTATATTTTTAAATGAGTGAAGTAAATATTAATAGTCAAGATCATGTATGCTTTAATTTTTTTAAAAAACAGAGGAGAAAAAGATTTTGAACATTAAAAACGTAAAAAATATTGCATTCTGTAAAAAGGCTGTCATAAGATTTATTACCACAAATATATGGTAAGATGATTTTAATAACAACTAATTTTTTTTTATCAACATGTGTGGCCTTAGTGAGAAGAGGTGCTCCCTCCGTTAAAAAATATAAGATATTTTTAATTGAATCTCACTTCCTAATAAATTAATTATTTACTTTTAGATTAACCCTATCTTTTTATATTCACCTCTATTAAACACTTTATAATAAATATAAAGTTACTATCAATAAAGATACTTTTGATAAAAAAGATAATAATTATATTTTAAAAAATTAAAAATATCTTATATCTTTAAAAAAGGAGTAGTCTTTTGTAATATGACATGTTAATATTTTAATTCCTATGAGATAAGATGCTAACATTTAATATTCAATGTGCCTCGGATATATGTAACCCTGAACAATTAAAAAAACTTATTTTTTTATATAATTATTTATTTTTGTCCATACTTAAAATACAAAGACCTTATTTTATTGTTGAAAATGTCACCACGACTAAATTAAAAGATAATTTAAAAATTATATAAATAAAAAATATATTAATATTATATTAAAAATATAATATAAAAAATAAATTTAAAGTATTAATAGTCACTATCAAAAGTGCTTTGATTTTTTTAACAGAGAGGAAAAACTAAACATAACAAAAAATAATTAATTTTTATAAAAGAGCAGTAATGAGACCCACAACACTGTTTATTTCACTGTTGTATAAATATTGAAATTTATTATATTTTATCACACATAAGATGAGATACACACGCCTTTTTTTTAAATTAAATACATACACTTTACTAGTACATGTTAATTCTTGGTCTTGCTTGGTACTTTCCCCTTAACTAATGTTAATTTAAAATATAACTAATTTAGTATATGTAAAAAATTATTTTTTATTTTATTCATTATATTTATTAACCTAGATAATAGTGCAAAGTTATCTTTCAATTATCATCAAGTATATTGGTAATTAACATTAAGGATAAAAATAAGAAACATTATATATTTTTATGAGAGTGAGGACTTTATTAATATGTAATTTTTTTTAAAAAAAAATTGTTTATATTTTAAATTAGAGAGAATAACTTGTTAACTCAATTATCATACTTTTTAAATATGCAATCTTACTTGTTAATTTATCATAATTATCTATTAAAATATTTACTTTACATGTTAACAAGTTATCAAATAATGTAAAGTAAGTAACAAGTAACAACAAGAATTAATAGATAAAGTAAGAATTTTATATTTATTTAGGCCTCGTTTATAATAATTTCACATCCCTAATCGTTGAATGAAGATATAACAAAATTTGATTATTATTTGAATCACTTTTTTGTATTGGGACTTACCAAAAGGATTAAATAAGAATGTACATTAATTATTGATAGAAGGAGAGAGAAGAGAAGAAGGAAAAGTAGCACAAGAAAGGAGGAGGCTAGGGGGATGGGACAAGACATTCGGACATGCCATTACATATTTATATTCCACCCCCGTCCTCCCCGCCCTTCTCTCATGCATTTTCACAGTTTCTGAATTACTTGTAGAGGCTACGAGGAATTAGGGGCGTAGGAAGAGGGCATCGGTGAATGATTGCCTGAGCTTGAGGAGGGCATTGGTGTCAAAAGAAAAAGAAGAGTCATTGCACAATGATTCTATTTTTAAAAAAGAGGGGTAATGTGGTCATTTCATCAAGGAGTATGTTTGTAAACAAGGCCTTACAGCGGAGTATCATACTCTATTGTGCCTTATCTATGAATTTCTTGCTCACGAGGGCCTTCTATGTGATTCTCTCTAGGTCTGTACAAAGCATTGACATTTGGGCCTAACATGAAATTTGATTCTTTTCTTAAAAGGAACTAAGTTAAATAACACGTAATCTAATGTGGTTGTAATATAATTTGAAATTAAAAAGGATTGAATTGATTTAATAGGATTAGAAGAATGATCCGAATCTTATCTAGTATCTTACTTTATTTTTTTATGAAAAATAACAATTTATTTTGACATAATCAACTCAATTAATATAATAAAATTATTTATAGTCATATAAAATTTATCACAACAATAATTATAAATCCACAACAATTTTTAACAACAATAAAAAAGTATTTAAGTTATAATACAAATGATTCAAATTAAATAACTTTTAATAACATTAACGAACCTTCAACATATCTAAAATCCATTACACGAAGTTAATAATAAATTTTATCAATAAAAGGAGAAGATTGAGGTTGGTTAAAATTAAAATTTTGTTCAATATTTATGACTTCACAAATATAAAATACAAAAAAAATTATTAATTATTATAAATTAACTTATTATAATAATAATTAATAAATTAATTATAATTATATTAAATAAATTTATAAGATCAGACCAAGTGGTCTAGATTCTCAATGTTTTGTCCAATCAAATCGAAAAAAGAGTCTGATCTTTTTAATCTTGAAAGATCAATTTTTATTCAAATTGAATAAAATTGGGTTTGTCTCAAATTGAATTAAATTAGTTTGAATTTGAGAACTTTTCCACGGCCTTAATTCTCTCAGCTTCATCTTTTTTTTATTTAACATTTTAAAATCTCAAATGTATATACTTTTTTGTTTCACTCAATCATATATATTTACGGTATATTTTTTAACATTTATTATGAAAAACAAATTTTGTAAAACCAATGTTATAAAATAAAGTTTCATAATTAAAATTATGGTATCTAAGAAACAATAATGATACGTTCTTTAATTCTGTAATCTCATAAATATTTTTAATTTTAAAGTTTTTATTAAAATCTTCATATTTTTCAAAAAAAAAAATAGGAGGTATATAATTTTGTTCCCAGTAACTTATTTTCTCAATTTGATCGCTGAAAGGAATGACTACGAAATATTTATTATCGTTAACTGTGTTAGACTCTTTGTGCTCTTCTCTTTCTTGGTCGGCGAGAGTTCTCTCTCGGGAGCGAGAGCAAGCTCTATTCATTTTCCTCCTGTGACTGAGCATCCCCTCCTTGTGCGGTGAAGTCTCTGATTTTTTTTTTTAAATTATTTATTTAATTTTTATAATTTTAACTTAATTATAACTTAATTTTCAAATTTTAATATATTATAATTTAATTTTTATAGTTTTAATTCGACTGTTACTCAATCTATGAATATTGTGTTTCACAATTTAGTTTCTACAATTTCAATCACTTAAATATTTGACATTACATTTTAAAAAATAAAATTATAAAGATTAAAATATTTTAAAATTTTAATATTTATAATTACTAATAAAAATATAAGGATTAGAATTATATTAAAATTTATTATTAATATTTTAAATTATTAAACTCTTTTAATTTTTATAAATATTATAAATATTAAAGGGAAAATGATAAGTAAGAACTTTATAAGAATATCAATGTTAAATTAAAAATTTTAGTATTAAAATATGATAGAAAGAATATTGAAGTTTGGAAAATCAGTATTGAAAAATTTTAATTTAATATTAATGCTCTTATAAAATTTTTTATTTGTCATTCTCCCAATATTAAAAGTTTAACATAAGTTAAAAATTTAGTTATAAGTGAGTTAAAGATATAAAATTAAATTATTGTGATTTTTTTTTTTTTCTGGGTCCTAGCGGCCCTTCTTCCCGACGTAAATGTTTGAATGACTGAGGGTGCATTAAAAAAAATAATAAAATGCTCCCATTGTATCAGTTGCACTGGTGGTGACACATGTGCATATTGCACAAAGTCAAAAAAGTGTCGATTAAACCAATATAAAGGCCGCGAGAACGAGGAATCATGGGTACTCTTCATTGGATTGAGTAATCATAATCGTTGTTTGACTCAAATCAGGATCAGAGGAAACCAAAAGTCAAATTCAGCACATCTCTCCACTCCAGAGTCCAGTCTAAGACCGTGGCTCTTATTCCAACCTTCATTTCTTTGTAGACAGTTAATGTAAAAAGAAATATGATTAAAAACAATAAATCATAAAGTATATTAATAAACTCTATTAATCTACATAATTTTATTTAAAAATATTTTTTAAATTAAGACAGAGGGAATACTTTATTAAAATTAATATGATTAATTTATTAATTTTATTTAAAAATAAATAATTTTATAATTTACTGATATCTAAATAAATTTTTTTTTCCATACTTGCATTTACTCTTTTTTTGACTTTAAATGGAAGTAATATTAAAAAAATTAATTGATATCTCATACAAGTAAAAAAATTAATTTTTATCAACACAATTGTTACTCTCTCTATTTTATTTTATAAGATATTTTTAAAGATAATTTTAATGTTTTAAAATAAGGCATTTTAAAAATTAAAATTTTACAAATTATTATTATTATTTTAATATTTCTTATTATTTCACTTTTTACATAAATTTTTTTTCTTTTTTTTCTCTTATTAATGAAGAGTATTTTTAAAAATTATAAAAGATAAAAATGATAATTTTATTTAACAAATTTTATTAACATGTATAATTTTATCAAAAGAAATTCCTATAAATGGAGACGGAGCTCTCAACTCCATTTACTAGACATTGTGAATGGTGTTACTGTTATAGGACCTAAATGTAATTTTGGTTTTCCTATTTCCTCTTCCTCTACTTCGCTTTCAATCAAGCACCCTTCACACCTTTTGCTTCTGTCATGAAAGGCCCTTTTCAAAAGAATCTTTTTTCTGCACTGATAGATAAGTACCATCCTGTTTCTCTGCGATCCTTTCCCCAATCTCTTTTTGCTTGTCTCTCTCAAGCTGCTACATTGCGCCACAAAACCCCCATGCCTCTCCCTTTCTCTTCATTCCCTTTCTGCTCTATCAGTCTTATTTGGGGGTCCCTAGTCCCTTCGTTTCTACAACTCTGGGAGAAGCTTTGAGCAGCATGGACGTTGCAGGTTCCAGGAGATCCAGCAGAGACACGAGCCCAGATCGTGTCAAAATTTGCAGGCTTAATCATAATAATAATGTCAGACCTCTTAAAAAAGTTCAAGTTGTTTACTACCTCTCGCGGAGTGGCCTCTTGGAACATCCTCATTACCTGGAAATCACTCTCTCCGCCAACGAACCTCTTCGATTGAAGGGTAAGTTTCACTTACTACCCCCAAAACTTCACTATTTTTTGAGCAAGTCATTCAGTTCTCTGATTTTGAAACTCGTTTAACAATATCATGAAGATGTGTTGGATCGGCTAGTTGCCATGAGAGGGAGTGGCATGCCTACACTGTATTCTTGGTCTTGCAAAAGGTGTGTAGCTATTTCTGTTTCTCTTTCTTTTGTTCTGCACTCTTACTTTTCACTTGAGTGAAACGATTTGGTTGGTGATTGTGTAGGAGCTATAAGAGAGGTTATGTGTGGTACGATTTGGCAGCCAATGACATAATATATCCTTCAGAAGGAGCAGAATATGTACTCAAAGGATCTGAGATTGTGGAAGATTGCTCAGGTTTGTTTCTTCCGTATTTTTTTTCTAAAAAATATGATATGATATCCCAATACCCAACTACCCCACCAACCACATTACCTTGGTAATTAATCGATCATCGTTGTGTTGCAGAAAGAGTTCAACAGACGCGACTGAGTAAGCGATCGCAAGCAGCTTATCAAGACCCAGCTTTCAATACCAGTCGAAAATCTTTCCATTCCAGTCTACACAGGGAAGCTGAAGATTTTCAAGAGTACGAAGAACAAGAAGAGTACTATGAAGATGGAGAGAAAACAAGCAACACGAGCTCCACCACCACGCCACACTCTCGCTGTTCCAGAGGCGTCTCCACCGGCGAACTCGAAGAAGATCACGAACCAAAGCCTCACTCGCAGATCAAAACAGTCAAGGTAACTGTAAACCACGCTCCACCGCCTTCCCCCTCGCCGGCCACATCCACGCTGGCGGACAAGTTACAGCAAAAAGTGAAAATAAAGGAAACAAACAACAGCTCGAAAAGATTTGAGGATGGGTTAGAGCCGAGTCGGAGCTCGATTCTACTTCAGCTGATAGCTTGCGGCAGCTCGGCGGTGTCGAAGGCTAAAAACGCACCGTGCATGAGCAATGGGGTGAAGAAGAGGGAAGGTAACAGTGAGATTAGTGTGAGGAAGAGAGAGGCTGTGAAGGTGTCGGAGGAGGAGATGATAAAGTGCATGTCGGAGAATCCGAGGTTCGGGAATTTGCAGTCGGAGGAGAAGGAATACTTCAGCGGAAGCCTGGTGGAGTCAAGAAAGGAGAACCGGGTTCACTCCGAGGCCGTGCTCAAGAAATCCAACTCGTACAACGAGGAAAGGTAAGAACTTTAAATATCAGTAGCAGGAACTTAGTGTTTGTAAATAGAATAAGTAGAGGACTGATAAAAACATATGTGAATCTAAAAAATTGCAGGAGCAGCAAGGCAGGGATAGGTGAAGAAGAGGAAGATAAGGAGGAGGAGAAGGAGAAAGGAGGAAGCAAAGGAAAATGCATTCCTCTTAGTAATAAAAAAAGTGTCAGAAAATGAAAAAAAAATCTCTCTCCATATATATATGGATATGATATGATGATGGGATGTCGAATTATGGAGCGGTGAATTAATTAGCGTACTCTTTACCATCAGAATCATCACGTGGTTATGTTTATTCGTACTGCTTGGAATGCACTTTCGTTAATAATTATTTGTGTTTGAGCAACCACCATTACTGAGTTATTTATGATAACAGATCTAAAAAAAATTGAATGGATTTTCCGTTCCTTTCTTCTGTGGCTGGTGAGTTAGTATTAACAAACTGATTGGACCGTTGAATACTTATCAAATTTCAAAATACGCAGTCCGTTGCTGAGGGACAACTGGCTTCGAACAAATTTGGGCCAAGTTGAAGCGCATAGCTACTTCAGTAAAGACAGACATGTCCAACGGGTTCTTGTTCAAGTGGTTAGGAATTTAAACAGTTTAATTTGGGGTCTTATATTCTTAAAATATGCAGCAATATAGTTAAGTATGTTCTTGTCAGTAGTATCTGTGAAACCCCCTCAAAGAAGGCCTCACTTAAGTGAGGATTCAAATTAGTCTGGAGTTGATTGGGTAGATAATAATAAATCCAACATATCTAAATGCTTTAGAATACCGGGTGTAAAAGAAAATAAAAGGAGGACATAAACTTGGGCTTGAGTCTATTATAAAACACTAGAACACACTCCCATATTATCAGATAGTATTTTCTAGAAATATTCTTTTGGTCTCTAATATAAAACAAATCGTATGGTATTAATTATGCTTTGTTAATATTACTTTTATTTAAGCACATTAATTATGAAAAAAAATGTAATACATATATAAATTTTTTTCATTTAAATAAAGATAAAATTTAAAATTTATTATATTTTTAGACAAAGTTAATAACTAATTAATTATCCATCTTTAATTTTGCAAGGTAGTTGAAAGTACCTTATAATAAAAATGGGCATTACATAAGGATGTGAGAGAGTATGCATGTAAAGTCCCCATGATATCTAAATGAATTTATAATATGAAATATGAGGTTGGGTCTAGCGAAAATAACTAGTCTCTTACAATTAGACAAACTAAAAAAATGTGCTCATATTTAGTGCTTAATAATAAAATTTCCAACAAGGGTTCACCTATGCACAATCAATAAAAATTATAACATGTAACATGAGTTCATGCGATACTAAATATTTAAAATTTTTAATATAAGAGAAAATAATCAATTTACATGGTTTAAGAAAGTTGATTAAGTATAATAATTATATATAAAAATTCAAAAATTTGAACTAAATTATCCCTTTAATTAATGAAACAAATTTATAAACTAGATAATACCCCCTCCGTTTCAAATTATAAAACATTTTTGAGAGAGACTTCTCATTTCAAAATATAAAGCAATTTGATAAAATAAGTTTTTATCAATATTGCTTTTCTAATATTACCTTTTTCGTTATATTCTCTCTTTTTAATATTTTTTTATAAATAGACTATTAAATGAAAGATATTTTTAAAAATTTATATTTTTTGTTTTGAAAGAAAAATTGTAAAATATATTTGATAAGTTTTATCAGTAGAATTTTGTCTAATTAAAAATATTTTATAATTTGGAAGTGATGAGTTAGAAACAGATAATTTACAAACTTTCCCTCGCCAAAACTCTTCCATGGCCGGCCGGCAAATACCGGAAGCATTCCGACGGGTATCTTCAACTTAAAAAATAAAAGTAGAAGATAATATTAATGCAAATAATTAACTTGCTTACTCTGCTTTTTCTTTCTTTACATAACAACGACCATTTGAAAAAAAAAACAAACAAACAAACAGAAAGCCTTAAAACCTTCTGAACATATTCTATTAATAGGAAAGACTTTCTCTCTCTCTCTCTATATATATATAAAATAAAAATTAATGAATATTTTAATAATATATAATGAATATAAAATATTTCTTAAATTTTAACAGAATAAATTTTAATAGATAATATATATTAAAAGAATATATTAATGAGTTTTATCATACTTACTATAAGAGTAAAGGTGATTTAATTTATTTCATTTCATTTTTTTTAATAATCAAAATGGGACTAAATTTCTATTAACAAATTGGTATGGTTTTAGATGAAAACGTTTAATTAAAATAGTTTCTCTTTTATGTTTCGATAGGTGCACACGAGGGTGCTTGATTTAACGAGCCACCCCTTATGTGATCATGAAGCCCCATACTTAAACTGATTTATTCCGTTCGATGGAAAACTATATTAATATGCTTTGGAGGCTTTTTGGTTACAATTAATGCACAACCTATCACAGTACTCTCCAATTTAATTTCCATGCAATTTCAGTTTTACCATGAAGTAAAGTTCCAATATATTTTCTCTGTTCTTTAACACTTCTTTTTGTTTAAAATATAAACATTTTCCTTCAACTAATTTTAATTTAAAATATAAGTAATTAATATATATAAATTTTCTTTCTATTTTACCTTTTGTACTTATTAATATATATATATATATATTTAATATAAGGTCATGGTAAAAATCGTGTAAAAAGATCAAAATTAGGTCATGTTTGAAGCTATAAGGCTTCTACAATCAATGGGCGAATTGTCGAATAACTTAATATCTCTCTCTCAAAGCTTTGTGCACTAGAAGGTCAGCATATCTATTTGCTTTTCTATAAAAATGATCAAAAGTAATTTCACTACTATAGAATGAGGCATGAATAACAGTTTTTGCTAATAAATGACGGTGACAAACTGTAATCTATTTCTCTATCATTTAAAGTTCCTTCAATAAATCATGATTATTTACCCATCATTTATTCCTGTATATAAATGAAGATTGAATAACCCGTCATTTAAAGTATATTTCTTTTGTTCTTTTCTGTAAAGTAGTATAGAATAAATAATGTTAAATTATTTACCCATCATTTATAGTTACAATAAATGATGGGAAAATAACTTATTCGTATCATTTATTCTTTGGTAATTTATCAAAGAATAAATGACGAGAGAATTTTTTACCTTTCATTTATATAAATGATGGGCAAATAATTTGATGGGTAAATAATTTACCTATCATTTATTTTTAAATAAATGATGATTATGAAAATAATTGTCATTTATTCTATTTTTTTTTAAAGAAAAACTACAATTTATAGTAGTCCTTATAACAATTACACAAAATAATGACTAGACAACAATTCTAACATTTTCATATATGAATATCAATTGAATTGGATTGTAATCAATCAAAAAATGAAATAAAAATGTATCTCTTATTTTAATCTATCAAATAATGAAAGCACAGAGTTTTCTAAAGTATACTAATTTACCAACTAGTAAGAATTAAAAACTAATTTTAAGTTCTAAAGTAAACTAGCAAAGCTATAAACATTAATCCTACTTCCGCTAACTTTATTTATTTTCTTCTTTGTGTGAAGAGTACACTTGGAACATTTACTGGTACCACTCTTCAATCACCTTATTTATTTTTGCATTCTCGAATTTTTCAATGTGAGAATCCTTATAGTACTGCAATGTATAAATTATCTACCATAAATTTATTTTAATAAATTAAATTCATTAGCAATTATAAAGGGAATATTATTAACATATCGTCTCAGGAATTGTGCCCTCATTATGAATAATGATATCTTTTATAAACCTCATCATGCAGAAGTCACAATCCAAACTGTTTTTCATTTGTCTCGAGCACTATAAATTAAAGAACTAATGAATATTTATTTGCAACAAAATTTGTAAATGACCTTAAAATTGTTTGTTTCATTTTTGAGCGGTACAACAGAATCACCTTAATAAAAAATAAAAAAAATGTTAATATGGAATTTGAATAAACAAATAAATATATGAAATACTTATTTTGTACACTTCCATATTAATCAACTCAAATAAAATTTGTCAATTTCTTAGTTCCCCACTAAGAGAATTAAGATAATATATCTTTGGAATGTTACCGAATGGTTCAGTGGCGATCAACATCTAATGGTCCCTACTAATCTTTACAAGTGTTACAAAATTAAACTAATTGACTAAATTAAGTATAAAAAATTCATTAAGATAAGTAAAAAATATGTTACCCATGGCTGTATAATATTGAGAATAATGTGTCCTTTTGAGCTCTTGCTTTGACATTTTTACTTAATTGTTTAGCTTGATTTAAAATTTTTTCCTTTTTCATTAAAGCATGTGTACTAAGCTCATTAGGACTAACAAAGATGAACTTTATTTGTAAACCGAAAGGGATGGTAAATTTTTTGTATAAGCACCTACTATCAATATATCAAATGGATTAGTGTATATTTAAAATACTAAATATTCATATATGAAAACATTTACCGTATATAAAAAGTTAAGAATAGTGAGGTTGATTATATCATGTTATAGCACTTCATCAATAATATTGAGCGAAAACATATCATATTGTGGTGTGCTATAGATTCCTACCTCAAATGGGATTTGCAAGAGTGGAGAATTAGACCTATGAATCATGGCACATGCTTGAAGTAAATTTTAGTGTTGGCTTGACAATTGAGGCTCTTGTTTAGGTATAGCTATATGGAAGACAATTTATGAAGAGAGCTTAAATCGAGGTATAGTCTTTTTTTGGATTGTGTATCTTTGCTAGTTTTTTTTTTTGGATTTGGCATCTTAATTTGAGTAGTTTGCTATCTAACAAAGCTACCCATTGCCTCTCCTATAATCTCTGCATCCTTGGTGGAAACAAGTAATAGATAGTTGACATCTTTAGCACATCAATAGTAACTTGTCCTCTTTCCTTCTTCATAAGGAGTTGCATATTATGTAACATGCAACATTTAGGAAATCTAAACTCAATTAATTAAGTTTAATCAAGGTAAAAAGTGAATTAATGAGGTGTGTCACTAGAGGGGTCTAATAAATATATTTGACTTTTATTTTAGCCTTAAATGTAGGTCCAAAGTGAAGTTGGGTCATTCAGGTAAGAAAAGAAGAGGAAAATATGAAGAAAAAACCTCTGTGTCACATGTCGCGGCGCATAAAGGCATATTCATGAGGAAGAGCCTTTTTGTGCCATGTGCTATGGCGGAGGGCTGTAGTACACAGCCAAAAATTTACATTAATCTGTTTGTGTCTGCGTGCAAAATCATAAGAGAAAAGGAAAGAAAATGAAAGGCA